AAATACACAAAGGCAGACACTGAAGTGGCTGTTTCCGGCTGGCCCTCATCCGCACAGCCGCGGAGGCAGCCCATCAAAAGGGCTCGTGGTCACCGTCTATTTGGAAATTGTGACGTTCTGGTTTTCGGATGCTAATCACGACTATTTGCTATCACAGGAAAACGCATCATATTACGAATGGTTACTTCTGATGCTTTTTAACACAAACAGCCTGAAATCATAGCAGCTGTTTGACCCAATTATTCCAGACGCGAACTTCTACGTTTCCCATCAACGTGTCTTTTACGATACCTATTTCATAGGGGGTAGGTTCTGCGCGACCCCTGTCCGGGTGACGTTTAAACGTGGGTCTAGAACACCGCCCGCTTCGCTCTGTAATGGGCTGGGTTCAGTTTCCCTCTGAGGCCCCCCTCCTCCCCACCCCCCGTGTGAGGCAGGGCAAGGTGCGGGGCGCTGGCCTTACTTTTGTACTCCAGGTGGAAGCCGCTGGCGGACACGCTGATGTCCGACTGGAAATGCAGGCAGAGCTTGTTGTACGTGCTGTTCAGCAGTGCTGGCACGGTGGTCCCTGGAAGGTGTGCAGAGGGCATTTCAGCGTCACAAACACAGCCACTCCCGCTGTGAAACGTGCAAGGACATGCACAGGCTCGCGGGCCCGTCCGCCGTGGGCCCCAGGCTGGGTCTTGGCTCTGAGCCGTGGGCTTGGGGCCTCTCTCGGGGTACAGTGAGAGGCTCCACATCCCCCCTCCCTGCTCAAGCTGCTGCGACATCTTCCCCCCCACGCCGGTGTGAGGACAGACTCTCGTTTTACCACGGACTGTGTTATTCATATGGCTGCGGCAGTGCGATTGTTCGCCTTTTTATTATTCTTATTTTTGGACTTGAACAGAGAGGAGACAAAATCTTAACTACTTCCGTCTCATGGAGGCTGGGGGAGGGGTCGGCATGGACCCGATCCAGTCACTATTCGTGAGACGCTGCTTTCGACTGTGTGTTCTCTTTCCTACCCCTGTGCCATTCAGACCGAACGATGTTCCCGCTGAGATGAGAACGATTTCAACGAAACGTGTGTGAAAAGAAAAACAGAGGCTTATTTTATATAACGCCTCCTTTACTGAAAGTGCTCCAGACTGCGTTATAGCGGCCGACACATCGGGAGACGCACAGGTGCTGAGGGCCAATGACAAAGCAGCTCTGAGTCGGGAAGGTGCCGAGCATGGGGAAATGTTCATCGATCTGACTTTTCGGATTTGGGGTGACATGAATTATAATATGTGACCACGATGAGCAAGCGTAAATCCC